AGTGATGCAGTGTAAGCAGTGTGCCAAAATTGGGCCAGAAATACGGTGGAAACGATAGTTAGGCCGAAAATTCTTGATTCTCGGGACAACAAATTTCCCCGTCAAAATTTTCGAGAAACAATGTACGCGGTACCCAGACTCATGGGGAAGCTGAAATTAAATTTGCTCCGGGTTGTATGGAGATGGAGGACAGTATCCCAAAATTTCAGCTTTCTAGCTTTCTCCAACTACAACCATAGTGATTTTATCAACATTAAAAACATTCTGAACAACTTCGAAAATACTTTTTAGAAACCAAAAAAAGGGTGAAATGCTAAATTATAAAATATTATTAAGACAAACCATTTGACACTGCTGCATCACCCTCCTTTTCATTTCTTTCATAAGATTCAGCATTTCCTGGAAAAAGCAGCAATAACTGCCGGTAAAAAAAAAAACTTTCAAGAGATGTAACAAAAAAATCCCAAAAACAAAAAAAGTTCGATGGCAGACATCGCTAAAATGGCTCTTTTTGTGCCAAACATCGAAGATTTGACTCCGCCAGTGGGACAAACAATCTCTCTACGATTTGTTCATTCATATAAAATGATAAATGAAAACCGGCACTGGCAAGGGAGTTAAAAATGCAATCAATCTGCTCTAAGCAATAACCAGCGACTATCAAATTCTGGCGGTAAAAAGAAAAGAACCCACCAACGTGGCTTTTTCTTACCAATTTATCAAAATTTCACTGATTTTACTAATTCCGGGTAATTCTTATTTCCCAAGTTCCTCTTCTATTCTTCTTATTTCAACTGTTGTTCATATACCTTGCTATTAGCATTAGAAAAAAACACAAGAACTCACCAACATCATCTTCGTCCTCCTCTTCTTCTTCCTCAAATCCATCGGCTCCAATTAAGCCCTCGTCGGTTTCGTCGATTGCGCAGTCGTATGCCATGAAATTGGACGGTGACTGTTCCTCGGATCCCGATGCACTCGCATTTGCTTTCAGTCTCAATTCACAGAGCTCTTTCTTTCTCTGCAATTGTGTTAACTCATCAAACACTACTCCAAAAGACTTTAAAATTAGCTGGGAAGTGGTAAGCTCCACAAAAATCAAAAAAAGAAGAAAAAACCCTCCCCCCACGCCCCTTGCTCTCCCCCAGGAGGCCATTCCGGACCAGCATATGTTAGTACAAAAAAGTTGCCAAGAACTAACCTTGAGGATTTCTCGCCACTCTCTTTCTGTGATGGTAAATTCGGCGATATGTCTGGATTTGAGATGTTTCATCAGATTACCGGAACAGGCGTAAGCCACATGTGCACCACACAACCGACAGTTCGAACTTCGACGATTGATTCGACAAAAATATCGCCAACTGGGATGTTCCGCTGCACGACCACGTTTTTTCCACATATTAAAATCTGAAGCAAGCAAAAACTGAGTACTTTTCTCAGTTGCAACATCGTGAGGAGACTGAAATCTGCTGCATTTTAATAATATGATGGATGAGAGGAGCTCAAAACAGAGAAGAATGGAGAACTTACGAGCTGCATCAGTGGCAAGAAGAAACGGAACAATCCCAAAGAACAACCGAACGGAATATCAAAATAACGGCCAACAGCCATGCAACGTTATTCAAGCGTATGTAAAATCAGCGTCACTTTTTTTTTCGCAAATACAGCTAAAAACAATTAAGTGAAAGGGGGGAAAATCTCACGAATTAATGATGGTGATGACGATGATGGTTTGCTGGAAATACGATTGAAATTCGCTTTAAGCTGTAATTTCACTTGCCAAGATTGGTCCAATTCCACAGCGACCTGAAAAACATTCAACAATGATACATAGATATAGATAGGGGATTTAGCTTCCATAAATCTACATTCAGTTGAATATGGATCTAATGGGAGGGAAAAATGCTGGATAAACTGCTTTTACTGAGTTACGAGAAGTCTTTTCCAATAACACTAACTGATCTTACATTGTGAAGATAAGACACTATTTCCATTGAATTGTGTTACCAATTTTGTTAT